TATGTCACTATGTGTATGTATATACATATACATGTATTTGTTTATATACATCTGCAACATTGCTAATATTGTTTGTTGCTGTGCAATTCCTTTTTTCGTCAAACTATTGTGTTAATTTTATGTCACAGTGATGACGATGACATTGAACTGCCTGATCTCTCTGCATTGTTATGATGCGATGACAGCGCCATCTCTTGTCGGAACAGGGATCGAGTTTGTCCCTGCGTGATGACGGCCCCTCTTATTGAAGAACGTGAAGTACTGGCAGCGGCCTAGGTGCCTGCTTAGACATGCGGTGCTATCCATCTACAGACTATAGTCAATAATATCATTAGTGATGGTCGAGAACAAATCGGTGTATCGGTCACATTTATATTTTTGTATCTATAAAACTGAAGGCATATATATGTCTGGTATGCTCTCAGTTAGTCTGTGTGATAGCAAAAAATTGTGATACCTGTCCAACAGTGTGATGTCGCGAACATTTCATATACCAGTACCCAATACGTCTAATATATAAAATTAATTAGGAAATCGATACGCTTTGATTGATAAATATTAAAATAATACATGTTTTTTTATGGTTATGGATATCAAGATATTGCTATATGTAATTTATTGTCAGTGTATTCTGCTGTATAATGCTTTCAGTATGTATTTAGTATTATTTTGGTTGCTCTCAGATTTATATGTCGTAGCAGCAAATGTTGTATGACTGAAACCGTGATTATAATTAATTATCATAAGTATTTCAACTGAACTTTCAGTTTATTTTCTGTGTATTTTTTTTATATCTACCTATATAAATGTATTGTATTTTATAACCACGCATTTCACAGAAACATGACAAGCACAATTACATTTACTCAATAAAGGAAATATTCTCATTTGAGTCTCTTTCTCCCCCCAACGACGGCGGCATTTCCAACTGCAAAAAGGTGTGCAGCTTCAATGGCCATTTTCTAAAATACTGAACTGCATCAGAGCATATAAATCACCATATAAGAGCATATTATCAGCATATTATCAGCATATAAGAGCATATATATGATTTATATGCTCTGACTGCAGTGTTTGAAATCAATGTGAATAAAAATACACGAAACTACAGCAAATATACATATATATTATACATTGTTACTTATAATTCATTTATTATTTGGAGTGGGCAGACCATAGAGATGTATAAATAGTTTATTTATACATCTCTATGGGGTAGACTGGTACCCGGTCCCACCTCTCGGCTTAGGTTACTAAGCCGAATAAATAAATTAATTAATTTAAAAAATAAAAATAAATTAAAAAATAAATTAATTACTAAGCCAAAACCTCGGCATCGGCTTAGGTATGGCGATTACCATAGAGTTGTATAATAATATAATAACTACTATTATACTATTATGTATATATATATATTGTTTATGTATATATGTATATGTATTATATACAACTCTATGGCGATTACCCATCGAGTAATCGAGGTGGG